TTTTGTGTAATGGTCTGGAGGTTTCTCCTATATAAAATTTATTGCATTCGCAAGGAATTTTATAAATTGAATTTTTTGTATTTTCAATTATATCATGAGGTTTTGTTATTGAAATTTTACTTCCAATTGTATTTTCAGTTTTGAAGATAGTCCTAATATTAAATTTTTTACCTACTCGTTTAATTTGATCTGAAAGTCCTGCCTCAACAATATAAAACTCATCTACAAGTTGATTCATATAATTAATTAATAAGCCATTCTGAATGGTTGTCCGCACAGTAGACATGCTATGGCTTTTGACGATTGAAACCCGTGCGTAATCCAAAGTTAATATTTATAGTAAAAAAACAGCGTTTTCATAGCAAGAATGATGACGTGCAGCAATTACTAAGGTCCGTTTCACAGTTGGTATTTAATTTGTTGTTTAGAACGAAAAGTGGAACTAAAGCTTTTGGCGGAATAAATAGTTTTTGGATGTTATATCAGAAAAGTATTGAGCATTCAAAGAGAAGGAGGAATAAGATATCAAGTTCGATACCCACTGTAAGAAAATCAGGAATAAATGTTAATTAAAAAAAGTCTGAAAATGATTCTTGAAACTGAACTTTGTTTGAACTGAAGGTTTGTACAAGTGAGGCCGACAAGAATTTTTCGAATCGGCCTAATCAAAATGAGAACAATTTGTTATGAATAAATCGTCATTTTCATTATTTTTTATATACTATAAATTGGTGATCATATTATAAGTTAAAATTCTTCTGAACTAGCTAGCGTTCATATGCACCTGGACATTGGTTTCTTCACCTCACCACATTAGTTAGCTTTTCCTTCGACAGCCTTCCTTCACACTTTACCTTAGCTGAAAATTGTGATATCGCGCCATGTGACGAATGAGTTGTCTTCAGCTGCTTTAGCAAAACATTTTTCATATGATGAGTGAGCATGTAGAAAGTCAAGTCTATTAACTGTTTGTTGGTACAGAGATAATGTTTCTAGATTTATTAGCTAGTTTCGGAAGCATTGTTCTAACTTAGATATTAATTTTCTTTTGCAGTCCTGTATGTTAACTACAGGACTTGACAACAGTTTTCTTGTGTTCCCAACATGCATTCGACATCGTTGGCTCAGGTTCATTGCCCTTTAATAACATCTAATTCAGAGCCCTCAAATTTCTGATTGCGGAAGTTTCTATTCCAATATGTTTTCCAAGCTTCCAATATGCTGTACTTAAGGATCCGGTATGGACTTAAGTCTTAGGTAATGAAATTTGTAATTTCTGGTTTACATATTTGATGAAGAGCATCCACTTAACATTAATTTGATAGAATTTAGATTGAATTGTAATACTTATCAACTAGTTAACGGAAAGACGCATAAACAAATTATTTTGAATTCAGTTAAAAATGCTAGGTATTTTACAAACTATTACTTGAATGTTATACAGGTAATTAAGAATTGAAAGTTAACAATGGTTCTTTAAGTTGTTTTGGTGGTGTGTTTCTTTTTAACTTTATGTTTCATATTTAGTTTTTAAATATAGTATTTTTTGGTTTCGTTGATCTAATCTATACATAAAAAATATTATAGGGTTAGAATAGATCGTTGCGAGAATCGAATTCAGGAACCTGGATCAGTCGGCTCGAAAATTATTCCAAAATTATAAAATTAATGGCTCATGCACTGACTAAAATTGCAGTATGACATACCAACCATAGAATTAAGCAAATATTTGATTAGCAGGCATTCAGTTGGGGAATCGTGAATGTTTGGAGGCTAAATTAACATGAAGGTTTTTAAGTAAAGTTTGCCAATTATTACATTTAGCAAGCCAAACTGCTATTTTCCAACACAAACTGCTATTTTCCAAACGCTGAAGAAAATGGGTTAAAGCGTAGCTATGAATTCATCACGTAAATATAGTCATTAGGAGTTTTATGCCGATGTACCTGTCGCTGCTTGTGAAAATGCCACTTTGCTATAAAAGAAAACGTAGATCAAATTAAATTTGAGAATGGCTTGAAAATTTGAGAATGACTTACTCCCTTCAGATCGAATAGACTGTGACAAGTCGTTTTATGTTTGCAAAAAACAGGTGAAAGCATGCCATCAAAATTTCCAATGTTGTACATCGTCAAAACATGTTTAAAGAGTCGCAAATACCGTCCCTTAGATGTCTTCAACCTCTGATTTGAAATAGAACAAAGCCGCTCGAAAATATTTTCTTAAATAAAAGGTAATGGGCGTGCTAAAATAAAACTAAATGTAGGAAATATCCGGCTTCAAGAGCCCTACCCAACCGATTCTTAGTAATAATCTCAAGTCCTGCAAGGATATTCATTCAATTCAAAATGTTTACCGCTTTAACAAGCTACAAATGTCGGATGGAATCGAATGCGGAAACTGATAATTACGCGTTAAATTTTTAAATTATTCTTACAAATAGTAGCATCCTTTTCACCATTGCCAAATTCCAAACTTTTCAAGAATCGATGTCCACCTACCTGAAAGATGATTCCATCCAATTTTTCTAACTACCTGTTTAACTATAAAATTGCATTAGTTGTAATGGTTTCATCCAAATGGTTCTTACCATTAGTCCCACTTAAAGAAGATTGAAATAAGCTATTATTTCTATTCTCTTACATATTCGAAATTTTTTATGGAACAAAAAACGAGAAACTGGTTTGAGAAACCAAAAGACCCTATCCATATCCTACATAATTTGATTTGGCACAAATAAAACTTGGATAATCAAGATATTTTTTAAGGCATTTTGTCAAAATGGCCTTGAACACAAGAAAATCTCCATATATATCCAAAAATATATCCAGAAAATATCCAGAAATATTTAATCTTCAGGAGGGATTTCTGGAAAAACCCGTTTTTAAACAATGATTATGAAAGATAAATAATAAGAGTAAAAGATCACGCCTCAGTATGTTGAAGGATTCGATAAAATCTTTCCGAGTTCTAGAGTTTTTACTGTTAATAATGCACCTTCATATCTAATCTAATAGAATAAGAAATGTTTCTTGACAGCTCAATCAAGAAAATTTTACTCTCTGTTAGTGTGTAGGATTTTGTTATATTTTTGTTAACTGTAACTGTATTTACCTCTGCAGAATTTTACAGTGTTATCTACAATTTGCTGTAAATCTTTTCTGGTTAAATAAATAAATAAATAAAAATACAAGGTGGCCATTTTATTTTCTGAATCTTGTATGAGTAACTTCTGCATGTTTAAAAATAGAGGATCCGTTAAATGGGCAAAATTGGGCAGAATGCAACTTCCTACTTGCCATTACGGTTATCAAAATTTAGGTACCCGACTTGGTTCCGGAAATATCCTGAAAATACAAGAAATCAACACTTTTTTAATTATCACTTATTTCGTAAACTTCTTAACTTAGAAAAAAAAGTTGAAATTACCCTTGGTAGAACTTTTGCGTTGAATCCAATAAACTAGCATTCGTTGTCATAGTCAACTTGATTTACGAGATAAAAAACAAAAATATGTTTTTTTAAATGGTAATCATGATTAGCCTTTTAAAATCCTTATTTTTCTTCTGAACTTAACGATAGAATTGTTTGTATGTTTATCTCTTCTTTTAACCGTAAAAATTGAAAAGAAGAACATTAACAAGCATCTAGCAGTATTGTCACGAAATTGTTACTGTATCTGCCATTAAAAGCTTAACAACCACAATAGCGATTAGGAAAACACTTTTGTACTATCATGTTTGGAAGAAAATAGTTTTTTATAGACTTCGCTTGATTAGTTGGTTTCGTATGTAAAAGCTGTACTAACTCTGTTCTTCCCAGCCTGATAAGAATTGCACCAAAAGTTGTAACTGCTCTTGAGGAGAATAACTGTAATAAAAAAACGTGAATGTTCTAATTTTATTAACTCATTAACTGACTTATAGAAATACGCAAAAAATCAATTCAAAGATGATCTGAAAATTCCAGGTACTTTTTAGCAACCCAGGACGATAAAGATGAAAATGTCTTATCAATTATTTACTTTACGATACGATAGGTACACCTGAGTTTAAGTATTTTCCATAGCCAGGGAACTCGTTTCCTGAAGAATAATGAAGATAAATATAATTTCCATGACGCGCACCCCAAAACATTTTAAAGCATTTATGTTGTACTTGCTTTATTTGAGAATTTTCACTACCAGCTTGAAACCTTATAGGCACTAATTAAGGAAATGGAATAACTGATGAGAATCACTTGAAGAGCAAATTGAAACGTTTACATGTTTACATCTGTATTTTCTTTAATTACAGAGCATTGGGTGAATTATTTGCATAATAACAAAAAATTTACAGAATAGTTGAAATATACAAAGGGGACCAGAATTTTTTTATTCCCATTTAATATACGACTCAACTTTTACTGTTACCTTCAACCATTACGACATGCTCGTAAATAAGAATCGTTTCGATCCCATTTGCCCCTGTTTCTCATTTTATTGTCGAATTTATTTTATGTCATATAAAATATATTATGGTTTCCAACTTGAGTGGATATTTAGCATAAACTAGGAGCCTGATTAATATTTGCACATTTTCTGGGTACCTACCGTACTAAAAATTATACTTATTTATTTTATATACAATAACCATCGGGTCGCCTCTAGTTTTCGTCAGCAAGCTAAAACTGAAATTATTTACCAAATATGAGCACAGTGGTAACAATAAAGCTCGTGAGAACAACTGTAAGCTCTATGTAATGATAAATAAGTTCCTCCCGAGACGCTAAAGCTATTATTTGAGTTTGCCGGTAACTGCACTTATATCACATTTGTGCTTTATTATGTACTTAATCATTTTTATGTGCAAACACTATGGGGTTTAACACGTTTTGCGTGTTAGGCATTCGTTTAATATTTTTTCTTTAAACTCAATGGTTATTTTAGTAAGCCTTGAAAAAAGTTTGTTGGCTGACATTAATCAGTCAGAAATGTATCGTACAAGAACAGGTTTTAGTCATGTCACAAGCAGGTACTCCCATGACGGGGTTTCAAACCTTTTTGTTCACATTATCTGAGCCTGACGGGCAAAATTCATGGTCAAAGGCATTTTATTTAAAGGGGTATTGAAGAAGCAAGCTGGTAAAGATCTGCTTAGTCGCTATCTATTTTTCTCGCGTGAATCTACAATCAGCGGATTCAGATATTTTATATCAACGACTACAGTTTTAAGGACCTTTTCTAGATCCTCCACTTGGTATAGGTTGCCATTTGGAAAAATTGGAAAAAAATTGGTGCTGTAGAGGCTGACAGGTTGGATGAATGTTACGTGTTCTGTAAAAGAAATGTTCTGGAAATATATGCAGTTTGCACAGAACATTTAAATAACCCTGTGCCGTGAGATTATGTGATTACAATCGACATTCTCTATTACGTTATGTAAATATAAAATAAATTCCTTGTTGGGAACCGAAAAATTAAGAATGTAGGTTTACATTTGTTGCTTTTATCTTCGTATAAGAGATAAATTCATTGAAAGTTTTAAAACACAAGAATGAGATACTTATCTTATATTTTGCAGCAATTCCTACACTTTAACATTTGATCTACGCTACATTTTTTATCTATTATATCGTGCTTTGATCAGGTATCACATTTATTATTAAAACTCACGTTCCATGCATTGTACCCTGTGCTGCACAGTCTCGTCTTGAATTATTCGTGCCAGGAAAGGAATTTCCGTTGCGCTGGGCTCGCTTCAGAAAGTATAAAGGTACATTTACATTCAATTCAGAATGCTCGTAAGCCTTTCCGCAATTAATTAATTGCAGCAACATTAATATAGACTTGCAAAGCAATTTTTTTAATACATTGAGACCGAAAGAATGTGACTATGACTTGTGACACACACTGTGACGCATTTTTTCCCAACACAATAAAAATATTTTGTTTGAAAAATTACACCAATCTATATATCGACTTCCCATTAGGTTAGAATTTGTTGCTGAAGTCCTAATTATTGTCATTGTTAATGTATTGATCATCTATATTTCCTAAGTAACTGCTTTCTAATTAACCATATTAAAGATGTAATGACGACTGTCAGAAATAATTAGAAAATTGCTATTAAATGATGTTTTTTTTATTATAATATCCTATATTTCCTGGCTTATTATTAATTTATCATTATATAGAGTTTTTTTATGTTATTTTGAGCTGCTTCCAAGTATTTCCAATATTGCCACACGTTTAAAAAGAGCTATTGCTAAACCCATTATAAGTCAATAGTCGCGATAAATAATACATGGACGAACGGTTAAATAGGCGAAGTCATGCTAAATGAAATATAAATGTAATGTTCTAACATTCAATACTTTTTGGAAACGACCAATTTACCATTCCTCAATTTTACGAAGGTTCAACAGAATATTGTGCGGAGATTTTGCCGTAAAACTTTCGATTTTGTCAATAGTTTTAAGAGCAGGTTAGTTGCGATGGACGTGGTATTCACCGTTCAATATAGCAGTAAAATGTGTAAAATTGAATAGAGAAAGACTTCTATAATATATTTTTACTTGGCGGTTTCTGCATATATCGATCTGAGATAGAAAATCAAAATAAACTTTGAGAAATATGCACCTCTGTTTGTCGCTTTGAGTTTCAATATACCAATCAACTTTGATCAAGATTGTGCTATAATTATTCTGAGGATTTTATTGGGTAAAGGCACATACGTGTTTGCGTGATATTCAACGACATTTTGCGAGAACACCTAATTAAAAAATATAGATTATTTCTTTCACTTTTGCACCATTTCTCGTAATTTTTTTTTCACAGATTATTGTGATATTTGTGCTACTAAATCGCTCTTTTACTTGCTTTATCAGGAGTAATTTTAAATAAATTATCTAGTCCATCAACATAAAAATAATAAGTTATTTAATATTTATTTTCCTTCGATACCACAAGTATTTAATTAAACTTAGACATGAGAATTTATTAGAAGCATATCTTTGTAGGAGTGTTAAGGGGAACATACAATTATTCACATATTTAATGGTTAATAATTCTCATATATTGTAAAATATCCTTTTTTTCTGTTGTTCGCGTCAAAAATGTGTTTTCACGTACTACTCTCTATACTTGTTACTTTTGATTAAATTCAGAATGGTTTTGTTACTTCTGTATCTAATATTTAAGATTACAAATATTTATTCATACAATCAAAAGAATATAAGCTGATGCTTTTATATCGGCATAAAATTGAGGATATTTAAATTGAGACTGCATATAAAAATTCGTTCAAAATTTCTAAAATTTGCTAGGTATTAGTGAGTATTTCTGCTTTCAGCCCAACCAGCTCGCTTAATATTCAACTGAAAATTCTATAAATAGTTCACATCAATAGCATAACTTAGAAGAGCAACTTTGATAAGTCAATCAATTTTGTTACCAAGTTTCTCACCAATTTCTGGGATTCACATCCCGCTCACATTTAATTAATACTTGAACAAATTGGTACCTACTTCTTCCATTAATTATCACTTCCCTAATATATAATAGTATATCGTAAAAACACTGGTACTTTTCGCACAATGCAATATACGTAAACTACTGATCAAGAAGTTCAATTCGTTGGAACATGCAAGTATAAAATATGTATTCTACAAACAAATAAAAATGAAATAACCCCACATCCACCTAATGCAGAGTGATGAGAGTTTCCGTTCCAAATTGTGTTGGTAAATCATCAGTCAAGTACTGATGTCCTCTTGGGCTAACTAGATTCCCATCAAAACAGTTCGTTCGCTTATCGATTGAGAATAACTAGGGCTTGGAAACTTACCCGATTAACGCTCGATTACTTACTTACCACCTCGCTGTAATTAGGCAAAATTAGCATAATCGCATGAATGCATTCTTACACATACAGGTCTATTAGGAGGTTCAAACTGTATAATAATACAATTAAACAATCATATTTTCGTTTTTTCTGTAGACAGTAAAATATTCACATGTTCAAATTTACTCAAGCAAATGTAGAAAGTATTTTAGACACATATTTTAAACAATATCAATTTGACTGAAATTTACAGAATCTGTAATTGGCGAGAATGATAATAATATTTATTCTCAATTATAAACTTTAAGCAATCACGTTATTTGTAATTACATTACACTTACAATAGGCACATTGTATTATACAATATATTATTTTGATCAGCACAGTCTTTCATAATTTCATAATAGTAAAAAAAAGAAAAGTAATAAAAACACGAGAGAAAAACAGAAAAGAAATATTCGGATGTCAAAAAGTTTGGACACCTGAGCGTGATACTCGTCTGTGTCCTAATTTGAGACAATAAGTTAAGAATTAAATAAATCTACAGTTTCAAACAGTTTAATTCCCTATTTTAATAAGTTAACTAAATTTGTCATCTTATTTAACACCTACCGAAGGCTCAACAAGAGATCCAAGTTTTGATCAAAAGACAACCTTACTTTTTATGACGATTTTTCAATATTCGTTGATAAGGGACGAAACAGTTGTTTGCTCAGGTTTTTATGTATGATGGGACTCAAATCAAAGTGATTTACGTTTGTAGTTGAATGATGGTTCACATACTTACACTTTGAAGTAATGATAGATTCGATATATGTATGTATAGAGTATTTATGTGAAATATAGAAAGTTTTTCGTATTAAATCGTGGTGACCTAAAAAAAGTGTTTTTTTTTAAGTTTGAACTACAAAATATTGATGACATGTTGTGCACATATAGATGAGAAATTTAATAGAATTGTTACTGTATAGTGTAAGGGACATAATTTTGGAACGTAGTTAATTAAAATAGTGGGTCCTAAAACGTGTCAGAATTAATTTCATGAATTGAAGCCCGTCTTAAAAATGAAACTAAGAAAACTTGTCGCCTTATACCTTCTTCACGTATTTGCATATGCGATGCTTAAGTTCAAAAGCTACCAATGAAGATCAACTGAAGAAAGTCAAAGTCCTGTAAGTCCTGTGGCAAAAACAGTAATTCAGAATACTTTATCAGAAGCATTGATTGAACGAATCATTGCTACGATTAGCGGACACCTTTAATGTAGGCATTACATGAAAATTTTAAATATAGCATTAAATATTACGTACTCATAACTTCTGATAAATACATGTTGTATTTGGGAATAAAAAAAACAAGATGCCTAGACGAATGGATGGGAGATAAAACTTTACTTGAACAACGTTCTACAGGCACATTAAGAAATAATACGTCGAGAACTGTGTACTTTATTTACTAAATAAACTGTATAACAATGAGCAAATTTGGACCAAGAAAATAATTAAATCCAATCGAAAGGCAACCGTGCAGTTCTGATTATAGCTACTGAACCTACACAAGATTAAATCAAATAAATATATATAAAGTAGGAAAAAATAGGCGTTTACATATACATACATACAGATATATAAAATCGATTAAACCATTCAATTCTTAGCGATTATAAGTATCTGTTGGAATAAAAACTCGATTTTTCATATGGTGGTTATCGCGCTCTGGAATTCGAATTACTTATAAATAAACATAGTAAAGAATACGCATTTTATTCAATTCAGGAAGTCCGTTGGTTGATCATTAATTGTAATAAACGATATTGGAAATGAAACCACTTCTACGTCTTGTGCCATGCTTCCAGTTATACACTGAATTTTTTCATTAATTATGGCAAGTAAAACCTAAGAAGTGTCACCGGAAGTTTCTGCTCACTTTCTCAAGTGTCCCTCAATGAGCTAACATAAATACACTTTATAATACACCTAATAGTAACCATAACAAAAACGTGGTTTAAATGTTTGAAAATATAGTACTTTGTCAGTCGAATGCCTTCTGTTGCCATTTGAAATAAATATTAGCCTTAAAATGCTTATCAATAAAAAATTTTAATATTTTGATCTGAGCTATCACTGTACCCCTACTTTTTTCTAAAACGAATCAAGTTTCATATACAATACATTAGCTAAGAATTCAAGAGGGGATATTTTTTGAAAATGTACCCAATACTTGAAATACTGCATTTCCTCATTTGACTGATCCACATTTTTTAATTTGAATTTGCAACCTTCTTAACTTGATTAAAACTGTATTAGAAACTGTGCGGTTGAACTTTCAGTTTAAAGGCAATAGCAGAGGGATAATGAAAATGCAATTAAATCGAACGAAAATATTTTAAACTAGAAACACCTATTTGTAAGTTGCAAAAATGATCCAGGTAATCCAAAAAAGGATGTTCGGATACTCAGACTCTCATAAAATAATTAATAGGTGTCCAAGCCATGCGCAACAACTAAGTCCAAGAATTTGTTTTACAAATTTATTATTTCGAGACTAAAGTTCCTAAAAGTCGAACGTTAATCACTAAGCCTCATGTTCTCAGCATTTCAATTGCAAGAGTCCTATTAACTTCATTAAATATTTAAGA